TAGAATAGAATAGAATAGAATAGAATAGAATAGAATAGAATAGAATAGAATAGAATAGAATAGAATAGAATATGGAATGAAAATAGAATAGGATGGGATGGAAATGAGAAGAGAAGAGAAGAGAAGAGAAGAGAAGAGAAGAGAAGAGAAGAGAAGAGAAGAGAAGAGAATTCTTTATTGGCCAAGTGGGGTTGGACACACAAGGAATTTGTCTTGGTGCAAATGCCCTCAGTGTACATAAAAGAAAAGATACATTCGTCAAGAGTCAAGAATCATCAGGTACAACACTTGATAATAGTCATAGGGTACAATAAGCAATCAAATCATACTAGGAAACTGTCCATATAAATCATAAGTATACAAGCAACAAAGTTACAGTCATACAATCACAAGTGGGAGGGGATGGGTGATAAGGAGTGATGAGAAGATTAATAGCAATAGTAGTGCAGATTTTGTAAATAGTTGGACAGTGTTGAGGGAATTATTTGTTTAGCAGAGTGATTGCTATCCCACACCTTACACTTCCCACACCTTACACATCCCATACCTTACACACACAAATATGCACCTTACACACGTTACACCTTACACACACATATGCACCCATGCTGTGCAGGCAGGGATTTACAGCAATACCATTATCATACAGCTTTATTAGAAGGGATGATCTTACATCATCCCTCCTTATAGCAATAGCACTTAGACATATATATCGCTTCACAGTGCTTTTACAGCCCTCCCTAAGCAGTTTACAGAGTCAGCCTCTTGCCGCCAACAATCTGGGTCCTCATTTTACCAACCTCGGAAACATGGAAGACTGAGTCAACCTTGAGCCTGGTGAGATTTGATCTGCCAAATTGCAGGCAGCCAGCAGTCAGCAGAAGTAGCCTGCAGTACTGCACTCTAACCACTGCGCCACCGCAACTCTTATAATACATAAGATTGTCTGAACTAATCCCAGTCAACCTGTTTGAGAATAAGTGAGACCTCTTCCTTTTTTTTCTCCAACCGTAAACGAAGGGATGGTCCAGGGATAAATGAGTTGACTTTGCTTAACGATGGTTTTGCTTTCCTGCAAAATGGAATTCAGCCTGGAGCATCTCCGATTTACCATTTGCATCATGCAATGCTTAATCGGTGGTAAGTATATCCCAGTTTAGGAAAAGTTTCTCTCCCTTTAAACAAGGAGAGAATTCTACAAGCAAGCGAATGGATCTGTTCCCTGTCATGCTCTGGATAAATCGATTTTCCTTTGAAAGGGGTTTGGTTAGTGTCTGCAGTAACACTGTTTTTAATTTTGTATTCGGCTGTTTCAGGCCTCATTGATAACAAACACCTGGGACTCGAGAAAATGGGACCAACCTGGAGCAAATTTGTACTGAGAATGAGAGCCTGGAAGAAACACGAGCTATATAGTAGGTAGTCTGAGAAGAGAGTTGCTAAGGAAATCACCAAATTCTTTAGAAGTGACTCGCTCTGCAGAAATCAGCGGTGAAGACTATCTAACATTATCGGCTACTAGCTTTCATATATCACCAGCTCTTAAAAGGCATCACTTCTGAGTCAGCTGAAAAGTTGGCAGTCCATCTTGGGAATAATTATGATTTATAGTTCATTGTGCCATCAGCCAGATGTTTAGACTGGATCTGGCATTTGTATCCCTCATTTTGAGTCCTTCCCAAGCATCTGGGATAGGCAGATGCTCCTGTTTAATAATGTTGAAGATACCCTCACAGGATGAAGGCAAAGCTGCCTTTTGCCATTGACCAATAGTGATTTTTGTCAATGCCGATAGTGTTCCAGTGGTGCTACAGATGTTTGGGATCGCACCCAAGGTGCCTATATCACTATTGTGCCAGGTTGGGGATAGTGCAAGAGATGGAGATAACAGCTCACCCTGACCAGGTACAGCCTTTGATTCCTGGCAGCATGGAAATCTACTATTTTAAACAAACATACACATAAAACACAGAAGCAACAAATAACAATATTAAATCCAAGGGTGGAAGCTCTTAAATTTGCACCTGGTTACCTTTGCCCAGAGGCAAACGACTTAGTCAAGGTGAGCAATGGAATGTTTTAAAAATGCAAAGATTTGACATGAGAGTAGCCCTGGCTGAACGCCAAATTAATATGCCTGAATAATTTGTGACCCGTGAAGCACAACACAGCCCCCAAACAATTTAGTTACTGTTGTACTAAATCCATGCTCTCTCTGATACTTAAAAGTCCCTCTCTGTTTGAGGTTCCAGCCTGCGACAACTAACGTAAAACAAGGGATCCTGGAGTGACGTACATTTCTTTGTTTCTGGCAACAGTTGAAGGATGGTACCCCAGGCCAAGATTTTCTCATTGCACAGGGTGGCTCAAGACTCCCCAGAATGGTTGAGGGGGATGAGAGTTACCTTCTATGCCAGGGGTCCCCAAACTTGGCAACTTTAAGACTTGCGGACTTCAACTCCCATAGCATAACTGGTTGGAGAATACTTGGAGTTGAAGTCCACAAGTCTTAAAGTTGCCAAGTTTGGGGACCTCTGATCTATGCCATCTTCTCATCTTTCCCACCACTCATCTTTCCTACTACCTTCTTGTACTGGCATATTATGATTAATTGTTGTTAATATCTCTCTCTCTCTCTCTCTCTCTCTCTCTCTCTCTCTCCCCCTCCCTCCCTCCCTCCCTCCCTGCCTCTCAGCAAGAAAGGAGAAATAATCTTAGCTGAGAACAGCGATGCAAGCTGAACTAACCATTGGTGAGGTGAGACTCTTGACTATTTCACTGATTTATTCTGATGATTAAATTGAAAATTTGATATATATATAAAGCTACATGCTCTCAATTCTTTGGGGTTACACCAATGTATGAATACAAAGCAAGAATAAAGAAGAGAAAAGCTGGAAGAGAGAAAGAAGAATTAATATTATAAGGAGCAAACGTTCAATGATTTAAAAACGGATTTTATGAGGCAGGTTGAAGCCAACAAAATCATCCTTTTCTAAATGTGGTTTCTAGAAAAGAGTCCTCAGGAAGACCTCAATAAGATCAGTGATGGCAAACCAACTTCTATTTTCCCCTGAAGAGTGCAACTGAGGATAGCCCAGAGCATATGTTGAGGTCCCATCTCAATTCAAGGAAGTGAGACCTCAGGTCCTCTTGGAATCACCCACCATATATGGGGAGAGGAGAAATTCCAAGGTGGACCACTACAGAACGTGGTTTATCCTGCTCCTCAAAAGTTTTGGGGCACTTCCTTGATTAAATACAGGAAATAAAGTTGGGAGAGATTCCTAGCATTAACAGATGCCTCTGAGATTACGTCAAAATGTCTCCTTTAGATGTTTCTGCACATTGCAACAGCTCAGGTATCAATCTAAGAAACCTTACCTTGGACACAGGTTGAGAGGCAGGGTCCCTACAAGAATCCCTTTTCTTCTAACTGGCAGTCAGTTGACCATTCTGTAGGGCCTTTCTTTCATGCCTTCTTTGAAATCCCAAACTGGGCTCCCATGGTTGGCATGGAGACGAAGAGAACTTCACCTGTGAATACAACTTGCCCGCTGAACATTTAGCAGGATTTCCAGTTGTTACTTGCCTTCTGCAAATCAAAGGCCCCTCCCTGAGTTGACTGCACCTCCTTCATTATTGTAATTACCCTGCCTCTTTATGAACCAGGACATCTGGTTGCAGCTGTTCCCCAAGCAAGGATTCTCTTCGTTCGAAGTTGCAGCAGGAGGCGGGGGAGGTGGAGGGAAGGAAAGACTTTTTTGCCACTGGTGAGATAAACACCTTTATTGTTCTATAATATTTCGTAGACTAATACCATTAATGTAATCACACAGACAGGAGATTATTGGCTGTGTGTGCTACACACGGTGCCTATTTGTACATAAAAATATAGCTGCATCAGTGGTGGGATTCAAAAAAATTTACTACCAGTTCTGTGGGCGTGGTGTGTCTTGGTGGGCATGGTGTGTCTTGGTGGGTGTGTCTTGGTGGGCATGGCAGGGGAAGGATACTGCAAAATCCCCATTCCCTCCCCACCCCATTGACCTGCTTTCCAGCTCCCTTCTCCTGTGCAGGGCAACAAAAGAAGACCCAGCCGATCAGCTGGGACTCAGGAGGCAGAGAATAGATGGGGTTGGTGGGGCCAGTCAGAGGTGATATTTGCCAGTTCTCCGAACTACTCAAAATTTCCACAACCAGTTCTGAGTACATCTAGGTAGGAGCTTTCTTGACTCTTTTCCTCCCAAATGAACTATCTAAGCTTCACTGTCTCTTGGTCCTCTGGAATGCCGTCCCTCCCTCCTGGGAATCCTGACTACATTCCACCACATACAGGTTTTCTACAAGTGGTCTCAACGACCCTCCAAAGGGATGCAAATGACCAGCTGTCTGCAAGGAATATAAATCCTGCCATTCCCCCACTTTCCTGTCAGAGTTTTTTCTTTTGAAGACATTTTGCCAGTCCAGTGTGCAAAATAGGAGAAAGAAAAGCAACTTTTTTTTTTTTTTTAGAAAAGCAACAAAGTTTATGCATTGGAACAGCAGAAGCAAAAAACACCTCATCACCAGAATGTCCCAAATTTATTTCCTTGCCACTGATGAAACAGGGGAGGTTATTGATAGACCTTCAACACCAACCATAAACTAAGAATTGTCACCAGTTGTGGGCTGGTGGGACTGTGGGCTTTGTTGCAAAGATTCCTTTTACAACATTCGGCGCGAGTATTTTCTCTCTTCAGTCTAAGATATATATCTGTGTCTCTCCTGCACATGGATTCCGTGGCGCAGCCCTTCTGGATGGTCACGGCTGTGCTTCCGTTTTCTGGAAAACAATAACAAAAGTGTATGTAGTAGGGGTCACATTTACATTTTTTTTTAACGTAATTTTCTGATGGAACCACCCAGGAGAACCTAGATCAGGGGTGTCCAACCTTGGCAACTTTAAGACTTGTGGACTTCAACTCCCAGAATTCCTCAGCCAGC